ACAAGGTGCCACACAAAAGGCTGTTACTCAAGATCAAGGCCCACGGGATTAATGGGAAAATATTAACATGGATAGAAGAGTGGCTATCGGGTAGAAAGCAGAGAGTAGTGATAAACGGATCATTCTCGAATTGGCAGGATGTAACTAGTGGAGTGCCACAAGGATCAGTGCTTGGGCCTCAGCTATTTACCATTTACATCAATGATCTGGACGAGGACATTGAATGTAATGTGTCTAAATTCGCGGATGATACTAAACTAGGTAGCAGAGTGAGCTCTCAGGATGATGCAAAAAGATTGCAACAAGATATAGATAGGCTCGGGGAGTGGGCAAGTAGGTGGCAGATGGAATTCAATGTTAGCAAGTGTGAAATTATTCACCTAGGTAGCAAGAATAAAAGAACAGATTATTTTCTGGAAGGGGAGAAGTTAGATAGAGTTAGTATTCAAAGGGATTTGGGTGTCCTTGTACACCAGTCCCAAAAAGTTAGTTTGCAGGTGCAGCAAGCAACTAAGAAGGCGAACGGTTTAGAATATAAGAGTAGGGAAGTCTTGCTGCAACTGTACAGGGCTTTGGTGAGACCGCACCTAGAGTATTGTGTGCAATTTTGGTCTCCTTATTTAAAAAAAGACATACTTGCCCTAGAGGGGGTGCAGCGTAGATTCACTCGGTTAGTTCCTGGGATGAGGGGACTGACCTATGAGGATAGGCTGAATAAACTAGGGCTGTATTCTCTAGAGTACAGAAGAATTAGGGGGATCTTATTGAAACTTATAAGATTCTTAAAGGGCTGGATAAAGTAGACACAGAGGGACTGTTTCCCCTGGTAGGAGAATCTATAACCAGGGGTCACAGTCTTAAAATTAAGGGTCAGCCTCTTAGAACAGAGTTGAGGAAACATTTCTTCACTCAGAGGGTAGTGAACTTATGGAATTCACTAACCCAGAAGGCTGTAGATGCTCAGTCCTTGAACATTTTCAAGGCTGAGACTGATAGATTCTTGAAAAATAGAGGGATTAGGGGATATGGGGATAGGGCAGGTAATCAGAGTTAGGTCAGAAGATCAGCCATGATCTTATTGAATGGCGGAGCAGGCACGAAGGGCCGAATCGCCTACTCCTGCTCCTAATTCTTATGTTCTTATGTTCTTATGTTCTTAAAGGATACTATTCTCTGCAGCTGAGACTCCGGATTCAAACTAACAGCAGAATGCATGCAGCTAATCTGTTTGCAAATCTTGCTGCTTGAACAGGCAGAAATGGAATGGCTCCGGCCATCTCCTGAATATGTTACTGACAGACCCTCAGCTCTCCTTTAAGCCTTGACTAAGTCCTCTTTGTTCCACCTCAGCAACATTGCCTGCCTCCGCCACTGTCTCACCCACAATCCAGGTGTTAGTCTCATACATACTTTCATCCAGCTTCACCCTCCTCACTGACCTACCTACCTCAATCCTCGTTACAGGAAGGAATCTCCATTGGAACAATATGGAATGCTTATTAAGGAATCCTGTTAGTTAGTATCACAGATTAGTCTCCGGGGGTTTAATATTACGAAGCAGAATTAGAGAGATTCAACGAAAACCTTTCTTCATTCCTGGTTACTTACTTTTTATCCAATGTCTCTTTCAGTCCTACACCCCTCCATTGGGTGGAGTTCATTGGGTGAACTCCATCCCGATCCCACTACCTCGCCTCCCCACCCTCTCGCCCGCGTTAAGAACTTTTTATCCTTTTCGACTCCCTCCTTCCTCAGTCACCCCCAGCTCAGAGCCAGCTCTCTGAAGCTCTTCCAAGACATCCCGATATTAAAGGCTCTATATAAATGTAAACGTGTTGTGGTAGATGTCTTGTTATCCATTTGTGGTCCGACATCCTATCACAGTGAACAGTTTGAGGCAATAGGACTGCATCCAGGTTGGTAAATCCAGAAAAAGGACCGCTTTCTTCAGGCTAGATCATGAAGATGCAATACTACAGAAGTCAAAAGTGTGACAGGGTATTTTACTCCTGTAATTCCGGTTAGATTCAATGTATTGAAAACACAGAAATGTTAGCTTGTTTAAATTCTATGGTTTGCGTTACAATGAGGTGTGCTCACTTTCAGAAAATAGGACCATTGCAAATCTCCAAATACATTTACAACCAAAATGCTAATTACAGCTTGGAGGCAAGTGGAATTTATCCTCAACACAGCAGTGTAAAATCCTGACTCAACGCACAAGAGCTCCCAAAAGCCAAACCAGGAATAAATTATAAGGCTTCCCAGTCTTTGATTCTAATTAGTGCTTTGAAGTGCCTTTCAGGTAGAATCACCAACTCAAAGCACTTCAGCTGGAAGCAAGTTGGTGCATGGCTGGTGAGACGCGAGCAGGGAAGTGTGTGTGAGGTATGGGTTGTGGGCGGGAAGAGGGGGTGGTGTCTGTTAGATTAACAAGAACATCATCCTGTACTTGGTGGTTAGAGCAGTTGCCTCGTAAGCAAGAGGACCTGGGTTAGATTCCCGGCAGGCGAAACGCAGGGCAAGTTTCCTTGCTCCACACGCCTCTATTCACCTAGTAGTAAGTAGGAACCCGGTTGTTATTCGATTGGTGGATCGCTTTTTCTGGGGTAATCATCTCTTAAAAAAACAATAATAATTTGGTCACTCAATCCATGACTGTTTGTGGGACACTGCTGTGCGCAATTGGCTGCTGTGTTTTGCCCACAAGGTATAAAAAATATACAAGTGAATATACAGTCAATTCACTTAACAGTGAAACGCTTTGAGACATCTCAAATACATGATAAGGTGCTATATCAAATGCAAGGATTATTATTATATTATTATAATGCTGTACAAGGTGCGACTCATAGTATTGCATTTTATTGTGGCAGTGTCGTTCAAGTTTGACCAGAATTCCTGACTGGAATATAATGCTATGTGGAAGGAATTGTTTTTTATCAGCATTCTGGAGCTTCAGAATTGATTTCCAAACAATTCAAGAACGTAATTCAAGAATTTTCCACAATTCCATTCTATCTTAAATCGTAAAAGGATCTTAAATCGCAAAACAAAACAGGGTTACAGGCCAAGACTAGGTGGAAGTTTGAGCCAGATACTGTATGCAAAAGATGTTTTACACATATATCAAATGTAACAGGATATTGAAAAAAAACTCTTTATCCTGAAGTTGACCATAGCTTATATGTGACTTTGCCACTTGAGAATTATCTGACCAGCCTTAAATAGGAGATATGTGTCACATCTTCTTGAGACTGTGACATATTCCTCCTTGGCGTCCCAATTATCAGGTGGCAGGTACATTGTCTGTCTTGTTTAACATGTACTGAAGGGTATATTAAGCCTTAGTGTCACCTTGCAAGCCACCAAAGAGAGAAGTAAGACATCTGCAGTGTAAATGTGAGTTGCCTGTGGAAGATGTGATTGTGATGCAATGTCTCATTACTCCAAGGAAGCGACACTTGATGTGACATATGGCCTTTAAGTGGCAGATATGACATTGGGTCCATGGCTGGCTTTAGTTAAAGGAGGCTGAAGTATAGAACATGCAATTGATTGTATTAGAGGATGAAGCATTTCCTTTGAACTAAGTAACAATGGTGTATGCTGTATGGTGTATCATGCAATGGGAGGTCACTGCTGGCTGCTTCCAATGGTAATGTGAAGCATTATCTGCCACAGTATTATAATAATAATCCTTGCATTTGATATAGCGCTTTTCACGTCGGGAGGACGTCCCAAAGCGCTTCACAGAACACACTGTAAAGTGAATTGACTGTATATTTGTGGGCGAACGCAGCAGCCAATTGCGCACAGCAATGCCCCACAAACAGTCGTAGATTGAAAATGACCAATTTATTATTGTTTTTGGTTTTGGAGGGATTATTATTAGGCGTGTGGAGTAAGGAAACTTGCCCAAGGTTTCGCCCTGCCTGGAATTGAACTCAGGTCTCTCGCTTGCAAATCGAGTGCTCTAACCACTGAGCTACAGGACTCCAGCATTATATTGTGGCACTTCCACATTAATAAATCCACATTAATAAAGGAAAACTGCAAACACAGGTAATCTATTTTCTGTATTAATAAAATGACAATGTCTGTCTAAAAAAATACTCAAAATACTGCAGATGCTGGAAATCTGAAATAATGCTCTAACCACTGAGCTACAGCTCAACAAGCAAGGGTGAGAGGGAGGTGACCATAAACATCATTGAAGAGGGGGGCAAGGCAGAGGGATTGAAGCAGGGAGTTCCAGAGTTTAGGGCGATTGTGTCTGAAAGCATGTGGAGTCCTGTAGCTCAGTGGTTAGAGCACTCGCTTTGCAAGCGAGAGACCTGAGTTCAATTCCAGGCAGGGCGAAACCTTGGGCAAGTTTCCTTACTCCACACGCCTAATAATAATCCCTCCAAAAACCCAAAACAATAATAAATTGATCATTTTCAATCTACGACTGTTTGTGGGACATTGCTGTGCGCAATTGGCTGCCGCGTTTGCCCACAAATATACAGTCAATTCACTTTACAGTGTGTTCTGTGAAGCGCTTTGGGACGTCCTCCCGACGTGAAAAGCGCTATATCAAATGCAAGGATTATTATTATTATTATTAAAGCATGGCCACCAATGGTGGCTCGGAGGGGTTGAGGTTCATGCAGCAAGCCTGTATTAGCTGAGTGAAGAGAGTGGTTAGAGCAGTGGGTTACAATATTGATCAATTTTAGAAATCAAAGAAGCAGCCCAAACATTGTCAAAAAAAATATTTAAACAAGAAGCATTTTATATTCAAGACAAAAAACTAAATATGGGAAGATTATCTGAATTAATACTTTGCTCCAATTTGGTTAAAAGCTAATAAAGATAATAGAGCAGATCAATTACTGAGAGGGTTAAGCAGATTCCGAGACTGTTTAGGAGAATTTACTTCAAAGTCAAATACAGACAATCTGCAGAGTTTGATCCCTTAGTTTAAACACAATGGTTTTTTTTGCTTTGTGTTACAGGGTGGCCATGGGTAACCTTAGCTGTTCTAGGATATTTCTACTGTTACGCCCATACAGGAATCGAGATTGATCGAGTGCAGAAATAGATCTTCAATCAATAACTATCTACTTTAAGGTTAGTATTCTCTGTTGAACAGAAATATTCGTAAATGCCTTCTTTTTTATACATTTAAAAATTACTGTGTTTGGTGATTTGTACTGAGAAAGTGTGGCTATCTCCCAAATATGTTGTATTTCTTCAATAAAGTATATTCATATTACCACGTATTGCTGAAGATGCCAGGCTGCTTTGTGACCTGCATTGGGTTTAAGGCTGTTTTGATTATCTTTAAATTAAAAATTGAGATTGCATTCTACTTAGAGGTGCAATTTGCTGGTTTTTTTAGATAAAGTTTTTTTTTCTATTTTTTTATTCCCCTCATGATGTGGGTGATGCTGGCAGGGCCAGTGTTTATTGCCCATCACTGGTTATCCTGACAAGGTTGGGATATACCTGCTCTTTAAACTACTTCCGTCCTGGAGGCAATGGCATTAGGTAGGGAGGTCCAGCATTTGATCCAGTGCTTTGGTATATGCTAATTTACAGTACTGTCCAAAACAACCCAAATTAACATTTTTCACGCCTTTCAAGTTAAGAGGGTGCTAGATAGTCTAGGAGCCAGATAGTCTAGGATTGACACCTGAGCTAGGGTTGGGAGCTGAGGGGGTGGATTGAGGAGCAAAAAGATGGCCGGAAGCACGGTGAAAGAGGAAGATGTAGTGTCAGATCTCGAAGAAAGCAAAGGAAGTGCTGAGTCAAAGGACTCTGGGATGGAGTTAATTTGACACGATGGCTTCTTCATGTAACTAGAGATTAATGTAGCTCGACTGCACTGAATAGATCAGTTGATAAATCAAAGAAAGTCTGATTACTTAATCCCAAAGAGGCTCTGGGAATCCACCTAAACCTCTCAAGATCAGTTTCTGCCAGCATGATAAATCAGTATTAAATTAAAACAAGACTTAATCTTCCTCTGTCTCTCAAATACCATCTCCCTGCACACTTTCTCTTCATTCTTATTCAGGCACTAAGCACACTTTTCTGTTTCTCTTCATAGTTGGGGTCAGGGAAGACATGATGTCAGTCCAATATTCACAGGACAGTGAATGGGAAGACATTGGGTGGGTGAGCAGCGGTACAATTAGAGAGAAAGATAAAGGGTGGGGTGCACAGATCAGGAGCGGTAACGAGAGGAAGGCAGTAGGAAAATTTGGATGAGGTGAATATACTCATAATGAGGTACAGAAAAAGGTGAACATTTATTGATAGATGCAGTACCATTTACAGGAGAAAATGTCAGAGATCAGTAGAGCCACTTGAAAGGAGCAATCCACAGCAATCAAATAAGTGGAGGAGACTGAAAAACAAGCGTTGACACCACTTAAAAATAGACTAATACTATATAACAAAGTAAATCTTTCAAAACACCAGCCCAGCACTTTCTCATTCCTCCAGATCTTGCCTGGGCCTGTTCTGCCCTCCCTCCATCCTTCTCTCTGTTGTTCTGAGTTTTCACACACTTTGTACCTGCTCAAGAACTGTTTCAACATCGCTCTGCATCACACCAGCCTTATTTATTTTCAAAACCCTTCTAAAAACTATACCTTCGACTGAGCCTTTGGGCATTTCTATCCCCACTCCTTCCCCATCTCCCACTTAGTGAAGTGCTTTCAGACGTTCTCCTAAGTGAAAGGCGTTATATAAGTGCAATTTCATGTTTATCTGTTTTATCCTATGATTCTTATTGTTGCTTTCGCAGTTGTTGTATTAAGAAAAATTGGGAGATAAAAAGCTTACATTCAATACAGTGCCTTTCACATTGAGAAGATGTCTCAAAATGAATCGCATGATTTACTGTAAATTGTAGTGACTGTGAATTTTATGGGTAAACATAACAGCCAATTTTTCATACAGCAATGTCCCATAGACAGCCATGAATGAATGACAAATTAATCGAGGGGTTATTCATAAGGACACTGCGAGAAACCTGTTTCTCTTTCAAATTAAGAGTCCACCTGATCAGGCAGATCAAGTTTTATCATCTCATCTGAAGGATGGGACTCAATCTTATGATTCATTGACTCTTGCAAATGTTGATTTGGTCGCAGCTATATTCAAAGGCCACTTGAATGGTTCTTACTGAGGAAACAATAATTTTATGTTTATGATTTCAGAAAATATCATTCTGAAAAATGATTGCTGGCTGCCTTTGAACCAATGGATACCACTGACCTTAAATATATCTCTTTGAAGTCTGCCTTTTGATGGTTCTCACCAGGTGTTTCAGTGATATTCACTTTTGCCATTTATGTGAATTGTTTTGGTGCATTCAAATTTTTTTGGGTGAGTTTTAAGCTCCCTGCAAACGAAAATGCTCATTGGGCACTGGTACTTTGCATTTGGTACCATTCAATGTAAAAATCCCGCCATGCGTTGTCACAAAACGCTTCAATCACAACTCCACTCTGTTCCTATTAAGCCTGCAAGTCAAAGATCTAACAGGGTGAATAATCATAGCTAGACAAGCAGCAGAAAGCTTGCGGTTTGTAGTTGAACTCCACCATGTCCCAATGCACACTTTGGTGCATCCAAGACTTGGCTCTTGGCAACCTCATCTAGTATTTTCCAGGATTAGGTGAGTGGTGTTCTCTGTGGAAAAAGAAACACTCTATGCCAAACACAGGGAACACGCATATGTGGAACATTGTGCGAACAAAGTGCTCAGAAATCTTTCTCTGCCTAAATTGATGCAACAGTATAATTTCCCTTCCTCTCACATTCATCATTCTACTTAAAATAAAAATCCATATCAAATCAGCAAGTGTGAGCCGTGAATGGTAAATTGTAAACATGGCAGTGATATCTATTGAGATCACACCAGAACTAGGAAATTCAAGCAGGGCGTTCAGAGAGTTAACGATCACTGTACATAACACATGTTGGTCATTTGATGCTGCACTGAGCTTTGTGTTGTGGGCTTGAATCCATCTACAAATTAAAATTTAATCACTCTTCAGCACCCCCCACCCTCCTTTTCTATAACTTTGAATAGAAGGAAGTGACCCTTTTTTTCCTTCCATCATTGTGGTTTCTGTTTATATCAAGGACCAGAAGGTACATCGACACCTTGCTTCACCACATGGTATTTTGCAATCTAAATATTGAAACACATAACTGTTGTCTTAATCACCTTGGTGCAAAAGCACCCCAAGAATAAAAAAATAGACAAATGCATCTGAAAAGTGAGAATGTGTTTCATTTGAACATGCAAATAATGAATAGTTCGTCAATTTAAACATAAATGCTAAAAAAAAGTAAGATATGTATAAAATGTTTTATTATAAATAAAGTTTACACATCTTTACAAATCAAACAATTTGTGCTTCTTTAGTTTATTTTTATTACAGGAATATATTAATATATATGATGTGCATAAATTATATTTCATTGATTTTTTACTTTAAAGTTACAAAATTGATGCAGATGCCACTACTGGCAGCTTAAGGTTTTTGCTGACCACAAAAATAGTTCCTTACTGTTTCAGACTTCATGCTCACAGGAGTATGTGCATTATTACAGCAGTGAAAAAAATGATAGCAATAGATTGAAACCAAAGTGTAAGCCGCCTTTAACAGGGAAGGAAACAAGTGAAGCACACACCTTCTGTGCATGTTGGTGTCTTAATGCAGTTTGCAGTTTCATGCAAAAAGCTCCTATAAATTGCCTCATTCAAAACTGATATTCTTTAAAGTAGAATTATGCCCAGCCACTTGAAACAATGACTGATATCTGTTTTTGTTAGTAAAATGCCTTTTCCCAACAATTTTTTAAAGGTTTTAACCTTGAACTTAGTCTCCCAAGTCTGAAGCTTTTTTTATTTGACCATCAAGGTTTCCCATTTCAATATCTCAGTCCATAATACATCACTTTACACCTGCAAATGCTATTTTAATTCAAAAGCTCCAATTCCTATGGCTGTTCTGGGTCTTACTGGCACTCAACCTGAATACAATTATATTGTTTGGTGACTGTGTCAACATTGCTGAAAGTGTGTAGGATCAACGTTTACAGCAGCAAGTTCAATATACTTAATCACCTGGGAAAGTCTCAACATTTTGCTGCACTGGCTGACTACTTTCAAGACAATGGAAATCAGTTTGGATGCATGGTTTTAGGTAATGAAGTAATTTGTTGTACTGAACTGTAAAAAATACACAAGAGCAATTGTTTAAAACATATAAAAATTAAGCTTCTCTTCCAAGTTTTCCTCTTATGAAGTTTCACATATTCATATGCAATGGCAATAGCCTCTGAAGAGGATGCAATTCATCTCGGACCGATGAACAAAGGTTACTGTAGAAAAATAACATGGAAATAATTGAACTGTGTTTAACATGGATTTTAGGGTTATTTAGTGTGCCACCTGATAACAATTGATTAAGCCACTAAATTTATTACATCATTCCCCCGAATGACCGACTCCCTGGAATCTCTCTAAGTCTCAATGGAAGGAATTACACTGCATGTATTTTGGGGGTAAAGGACCTTGCAGTTTTACATTATCGTATTCATAGTTGGAATAGGTTACGGTTTAAACTATTTAAAATGTAGTTCACATTCCAACCTGGAATGGGAATCAAATTCAGAAAAAACAAGTAGATTTCAGAAAATGTGGGCATTGCTTAAGTTTTTACTGAGCGTGTTTCCTCTTTGAACTGAGGTATATTATCGTGAATGTGTAACAGTATTATTTTCCAGCTTTCACATCAAGGATGGTCCATAAAACTTTTTCTGCCTGAACACATGAAATCAAGCCATTGGTATGTTGCAGCAGAACCTTAAGACTAGACAATTCTGCTTTATTCTGATACTGAATGGATGTCTCCAGAGCTCCCCTTTGGAAACGATATGTTCAGTCAGCCCTTGGTTTTCAAAGAAGCTGCTGTTCACACTCATCTAGATTTATGGTGAAACCATGTAAGTACACAAAAAACTCATATAAACCCTATTCACCTTGTACTATGACCAATGGCATCAAACAGAATGCTACACTGCAATCATAATGCCCAGATCCTGCAGCATCTCTAAAGTAAGTAACTTGTGAGAAAACTGCAGGGGGATAAGGCAGGACAGTCAAAGCAAACAAACTTGTCATTCATTTTATGTTCTAAAACTGCAATTAAATGTTCATCTTTGAAGCTTCAGCTCTGTAAACTCAGAACCCGGGGACTGTGATCGATGAGGTTTAAAATGACAACAAAGAAGCAATAGGTTAGGATTAACATGAAGCAGTTGAATAGTTCACAGTCAGTTAAAATCTGCAACAAAAAAAAGAAAACAGTGCTTATTATTAACTTCTGTAGCTACCATATTCAGCTGTCAAAGACTTAATGTTTAGCAATTCATAAAATAAAATGAAGTGTTCCCTCTGTAAGATCACAAAGTTCCATGCATTACTCTCCACAAGATTTAAAATGAAGCAGAAATCAACATAATTGTTGCAAACAATAGAGTCTAAACAGCTACAGTATATGTCTTGTAAAAAAGCCCTATGACTTCCTTTGGTTACACCAGTAGAACAGTTGACAATACAGACAGTAGGCATTGAATAAGGAGTCCTACATCTAATCTGATCCCAAGTAACAGTGTGGTATTGTATGTGCCTTCAGTGAAATTACACAACAGGCCTACATGTCAAAGTTACAGTTAATTTTAATATAGTTTAATTTCTCTTTGAGTGTCTGATCAAAATTATGAGTATCAATAAATCAGATTGAAAAAAAAAGTATCTTCCTTACGCCTTCTATTCTAGGAGTGATGGTACACACTTTTCCAAGAAAAAAACAGCATCTGCTGCTCAGAAATCAAGCATGTCATAGTAATCCCCGCTCTATCACTTGACTTCAGCACCCTGGATAGCTCAGCCTTAAACTCAGCACTGTATTTAGCAATGACACCTGAATTTTCCCAGTATAGTTTACAGTAGTTTTAAACGCAAAGGCTGGCCCAGCTAGAACTGGAGGTCCTCCTTGTCAGAGTCTGGGGTACTTGGCCTTGATATTTCAAATATGTCATCTGGTGAATCTGTAGGTCTCCTTGCATTTAATATCCTCAGTATTTCAGAAAGTTGCTTTTCAACACTAGTGATTTTGTTATTCAGGGTCTTTATGTCCTGTTTCAGCTCATTTTTTACTTCCATTATGGTGGCTTGAAGGGTCTGCTCAGGAATTGGATAAAATGAGTGCTTGGCCTCTGTCAGCACAGGGCTTCTGTCCTGGGGGCTCCGAGTTTCTCCAGCATTGTCTAATCTCAAATCACTTTTTGTAATGCCACTGTCACACGAGTCTGTTTTTCTCAGCGAGGTCTCTTCATGTGTTTTAGTTCTTTCGGGTAAGGTTTCCATGGATTCTGCCTTTGACACTTTATTCCATTCTTCTGTTTTTGTAACAGATTCCTTAAATTTAGACCAGCCCTTCCTTTTACTGGACTCCCCCGAGAGTTTCACAACGACAAAGTTTTCGGAAGTTGGAGCCTGCAGTTTAGCTTGGTCTGACACACCAGATGTTGAGGGTCTAACAACCTGTGAAGGGATTGGTGTTGCAGGACTTTCAGTTACTGTAACTACACTGGTCATTGCTGCAACATCTGGCTCAAGGCTCTCAGAGGTCACAGTGCCTTTCTCCACATCATCATCCTTGAATTTCTCGGCCGCTATACGGGCTTCCTTCTGCTGCCTAAACCTCTGGAAAAGCCTCCGTACGGGATGGTCGGGAGGCAGGTTGAGTGGGGCTTCATTCTTTCTCCTCATCCTCTCCTCCTCTTCCCGCTTCACATCACTGATCTTCCTAAAAACAATCTGTAAGGGTGAAAGGAGGGGAATTAAATTGACTGTTTCGGAGGAGCTTAGGAAGCACATATCTTTGATCATATTACAGTCAAGTGAGGTTTGAGTTTGATTGTCACTTTTTTGTGCAGCTACAAGAAAAGGGTTTGTTCTTCATTGATAACAAGCAACACATTGGCATACAATACCTCAGATCGATGCCATTTGTTACTTGAGTGTGAAAGTATCACAACATTTGGTTCATTCTATACAAAACGCCAATGACCAACCCCACCCCTCCCCCACTACCACCACCACTCCAGCACCACCATCTCAGCAATAGGATGGTCACTTATTTAACTAGTAATGGTCTAAAACTCACGGAGTGTTTGGTTTAGACATAACTATGAATAAGGCAATGCTTAAAGATTAATAATTGGATTTAAAACCTATTTACCTGAAAAGGTACACCAAACTTATCAACATTAAAATCATCATGTATAGAGCAGACTTAATCTGTCTTCTAAAGTCATCATCTCTTGTCATTTTCACAAGATAATCCTTAAAAAATGACCCTCCACAGCTTACAGGATGCTGCCGTACAGGTTTTACTCAGGAGATCTAAAATAAGATATCCACAAATATCATGTTTGTGAATTCCCGCTTGTGACTTGTGATTGTGAATATTAGATTTCACACTTTGCGAATTTTGAACCCGCTTCCGTAAATGCAGAAAAAAAGACTGATGAGCAAAACACAGCTGCTACTTTGTGAATATTACATTTTAGACTCCATTGGCAATAATTTCAGGTAGGAGTGAAAAAAACACCAGTGCATCTAACCAATCCAATTTCCCACAAGCTATCTTCAATGTACCCCCCCATTAATATAATTTTCACCATGAGATTGGTGAAGAAAAGGTTGATTCAGTGTTTCTTTGAATTTCACTTATTGAGAAATTCCCGTCTGTCCCTTGATGGTTAGATTGTGCAAAATATTGTTTTTCCCCCGCCATCTGTATGATGAACCATTGGTAGGTGACTATTCAAGCATTAAAACATTTCTTGATTTCATGTTAAGACAGTGGGTACATACAATGGAATGATTTGTGTTATTGGATTAACGTTCTTTGCTGCACCTTTTCCACGCAACTACACTCACAATGATCATCCAATAAAGTTTAAGTGTCTTGAGATAACATGCATGGTTAACATGCAACTGACATGGTTCATTCAGTGTAACATTTAGCATTTCTTTCCATTAAGCATTGGACATAACTCCACCTAGTGCATGTAATTTTAGCTGCATTTTGACTTTTGCAGTGCCAAGGACGGCTAATGGGAACCAAGAGGAATACATTTTTAAACATGTGCTGTGCATGTGACCATTAAGTTGTTGCAGAATACAAGGCAGGTTGCGAGATAACCTCCTGTGCCTTGATGTAGTCGGAAAATCAGGTAGCTTACATAAATGGAAGATGTCGTCCCATATAACCCCTCAATTTTTATTAATCATTAACAATGCAATAATTTAACTATAATAAAACTATGATAAGGGAAAACTAGATATATGGTTTCCCCTTGTCAATACATACTAAAGAAAATGGTCCCTGAAAGATGCCATGGAGGAATCAATTTAAGCACGAGAACATCATCAAATGGCTGCTTTCTGCATTACCATTCAAGTGAGTCATAGCAAATGGCAATAGATAATCGGTCAAGGCGGAAAACTGAAAATCATTCTGGGTCTTAGTTGAATATATTTTATTACACATAAGTTTCAGAATTTATGTTTTTACAACTATCAACTTTATCCAAAGGATTAATATCCATCAGAATGATCGACTTTTATAGCCTCTTTATAATATTAATCCTTGATGAGTAACTGGTCATAATTGTAATTTAGTCTTCTTCTCAGTCAATTAAAACATGCCTTGGGAGTACCCAATTTGCACCCACACAAATGGAATTGAGGTTGTTAAGAGGAAATATTTAATGCTAGTGGTAAACCCACTACAGCTCTTAACAAAATTACAGCATCCAGAGTGCAAAATGCAGTTGAACAGATGTTAAGATGCTGTTTTGCGTAGGTGTCCGACCAATACGAATTCCTGTAATTCACCATTTACAGTAAAACAATTGGGTGGATGTAGGTGAAGAATAACACACCTCTTCAACTATTGGAAAAGCCACCGTGGCCTAGAGCTTTTGACATTTCCTTTTTCCAGCCTTTTAACCCAAGCCTTCTGGTGGTTAGTTAGCTCAGTTAGGAACAAATTTGTATTATGGATTCATATCTACCAAGGCCCTGTAGACGACTGCAATGGATGACTCATTTGAGTCGAGCACCTGATTGTATATTTACTTTGAACTATATTTCATGTTATTTAACATGCTAATATCATCTGGAAACTACTGCATGTCCAGATTAAAGTGATATAAAAATGTAGACTTCAGATTCGTGATTAACAGAACATTGTATTTACAGTCACATAATAATAAAGGTTTACAATAAGATAAAGTGCCTTCTAAAGCTATAACTGAGATAATCTCAGGATATCCAAAAAACTGGAACATAATGTAAGAGTGAAACAAGTTGTCAGGATAAAACATCTGGCAAGGTTGGGGTTTGGGAGAAAGATGATCCGTTATCATTTCCATCATGCTAAATGATGTGACGATCCTGTTTCATGTACTCTATCCTGCCAACAGCCCTGACTTATCTCGGAAGACCAAAGAGGCCATTTTTTTTATGTGTGATCGCAAACAGTAAATGCTATGCAACCCTTGGGAACAGCACCACAGCTGAATCCTAACCGGCAGCCTTAAATCTTCCATAGTCTTAGCTTCAAAATCGTTGATTTAAAATTTAAAGGCTTACAAAGTTTGGAAGAATCTTAAATACAATCTAAATCTGGAAGATAGATTTCTACTGTTGTTAAAAAGAACTGTGAAAAACTGGCTACCAGACTGAAAGAATTGTTGGTCCTTTCAGATCCACTTTCTAACAGGAGTCACTGGATAGCAACTGCTCTTTATCCTAGCTGATGCCAGTCAGTTGCACACTACGCTGTGGCTTGACCCTGAGCCACCTTTGAAGGGGTAGATGATACATTTTCTGTGGTTTATTTTTGACAATTAATGGGATGACAGGTGATTCTGTCATCTTTTTCATTGGTTAATTTAATAATGATGGGCACCATTTTATGGATTAGTAAACTGTTAGTCCATGGGATAATAATAATAATAATAATAATAATTCTTGCATTTGATATAGAGTCTTATCACATCTTTGACATGTCTCAAATCGCTTCACAGAATATACTGTAAAGTGAATTGACTATATTTTGTGGGCGAAATAATAGTCCATCTGGCATTTTAGACCCCAATGGCTCTTTAAATATAAAAACATTTTCACTTCTGGGAGTTAACTGGGAAACATCCCAAGGTTTATTCTCTAGATCTGTTACCTTTGTACTCTGCAGATCCTTGTTGTAACACAATGCAGAGATACTTGCTAGTGCTAAGCAACTCATTTTTCCTTTTTTATCAGAGCATGGGACAATAGATGTTGAGATCAAGTAGAGTTCAGCCTAGCCAGAGTGTTGAGAGTCCCCAGCCATGCAGCTCTAAATGCAACCTTTGGAAAATATTCACAGACGAGACCTTTTGACATTCTCTTAGCCCAAGCCTCTCAGAGGTATGGCTACATGCGGAGTCCTGTAGCTCAGTGGTTAGAGCACTCGCTTTGCAAGCGAGAGACCTGAGTTCAATTCCAGACAGGGCGAAACCTTGGGCAAGTTTCCTTACTCCACACGCCTAATAATAATCCCTCCAAAACCAAAAACAATAAGAAATTGGTCATTTTCAATCCACGACTGTTTGTGGGACATTGCTGTACGCAATTGGCTGCCGCGTTCGCCCACAAATATACAGTCAATTCACTTTACAGTGTGTTCTGTGAAGCGCTTTGGGACATCCTCCTGACGTGAAAAGCGCTATATCAAATGCAAGGATTATTATTATTATTATTACAGGGTTGGGAGCAACAATGTTTCATGGATTCATTGCTGCCAGGGGGCAGTATAAAACTGCCATTGATGTTTGGCTCATTGGTACCAAACAGCTGATTTTGTACTTGCTCTGAGCTGCATTCACAGCACTGTTAACAATTGGAAATTGACTATATATTCAGCCGGCTTAGACGTAATATGGAAGTATAGACCTCTACCTTTCATTTCTCTTTATATAAATGCCAGGATCTTCCGGGACCCTAAGCGAAGGGTCTGATCTGTCGTATGGAAAAATAGCATAATATCCAAAAAAAGCATCAGTCCGCAGTGTTGAATATTAATGACATTCTGGTTCATAGTTCCTTTCTCTCTCCCTCAATCCCTCTGCCTTGCCCCCTCCCTCCCCTTTTTCAAGACCTGCCTGAAAATCTTCCTTTTCGACCGTGCTTATGGTCACCTCACCCACCGGCATGGAGTCAGGCTCCGCCACTGTTAAGCGCTCTGAGACGCTACCCTGCTTGGAAAGGGCTATATAAGTGCAAGTTGTTGTTGTTCCTGCACTACATGACTAATTTTACCTGGCGGATTGTTAGCCAGGATACTGGGAGAAACTCTGTTCCCTTTTCAAATAGTAACAAGAGATCTTTAGCGTGCAGCTGGCTAATGTAGTAAGAGTTTCATTGGACATGAGCATGGTGACCCAGTCACAAGCTCAATTAATCACCATTGATTAATTTGTTTTAAAAGGTGTTTGGTTGGTTAGCAAAGGAGGATCAATTTACATTAGAAATCACTTTGAATTCCAGCTTCTATGGCTCTAAAAAGGAATGATGAGCCAATTAAAATACTCGGCTGTGGACTAGTACTTTAATCCGCTTCCTGTGTCTCCTATTCCTGCACAGAACCTACAGGATCATCCTTTACAGTTATATTGAAGCAGAGAAAGACACCTATTTTTGCAAGATGGCTGTTTAACCCTGTCCGTACCACATTTCTTTTTCAGCTATTTCCTTCCATCTCG